ATCCCAAGTTTTGATGATGTTTTGCCTTGAAAATCCTCGCTCACATTCCACAGTGCTGAGGGGCAGCACGGACACGGCACGCCAGAGGTTGACAATGTGCGGGTAGTCGCATTGCCAGTCCGAGGTGTGGAGCATGTTGGTGAGGGCTTGGTGAAACCCTTGGCCCTTGAACTTCTTCCCCATAGTGGCAGTGAAGAGCCTAGCTTCGGGCTCAACTTTTTCTGCGGTCACACCTACACATGGGGGAAATGGGATACACGATAGTAAGGACATGGAAAAACATAGCTTACAAGAGCACAATATGCAATCAAAAAGAGCCAACTGACCTGGGAGACGGTTCTTGAACATGTCCAGGAGCTCGGCAAGGTTGCTGGAAAAAAAATAGTCATAATCCCTTGCACGCTCGGTGGGATATTTCTCAGGGCAGAAAAAAGCCACACTATCAAAATAGCGGAGGTCAGCCATCCTCTTCCCAAGAGTCTGGACAAGCTTGGTGGCAAACCTCTTTGCAAGGTCGTAGCAGGAGTCTAGGGTCTCCACCACCACCACTCCCAATGGGCTCTTCATGCAGGTTCACAGTGCAAGCCTCCTCCTTGCCTTTGCACTTGATGATGAGCTCTCGATTGATGCTGTGCGCAGCAAGGAACTTCACGAGCTTGGACGTCTTGATGCCAAATGTGGCATTTGGCTCCACATACCACTGCTCCAGCTTCAGCTTCACTTTGTCAACATGGTCCTTGACCTCGGTTATGTTGACCTGTTAGAACAAAGGGCCGGAACAAAAACACGAAGGGCAGGAACAATAGGATAGCAGAAAGGGCATAACTCAATAAAGTGCAAATGTCAAAGCAATGCAAAGGGCAGATTTTAGGCAACTCACACAAATGCGCAAGGGGCAGAATATCAAAGCAATGCAAAGGGCAGATCTTGGGCAACTCACACAAATGCGCACGGGGCAGACATGGTTGCAACCATAACAACAACAAGTGCTTACAAGGCTTTTTTGAAATAGGCGGTTCAAGCCATTGAGAAGCTCGAGAATGTCTGCCAAGAGGTAGAGCATGAAATGAAACTTAAAGCTTGATGCAGTCTTGTACAGTGCGGTGTCATTTTCCTTCCACATCCATAGCAGCGCAGGCAAGACCTCACAAAACCGTTGGACAGCGTCTCCCCTCGACAGCCAACGCACGGTGAAGATGCCCTGGACCTCCAGTTGGGTCTTCAAGATCTCGTCCTGCAAGGCCATGAATGTCTTGTGATCGCTGGACGAGCGGCCAAGATGCTCAGCAGTTTGTCGTATCTGTGTGTCAATGACCGCAAACTCCGGAAACTTCTTCGCTGCATCCTTCGCGGCCAAGGCTTCCCTGCAAGACACGCAAGGCATCACACTCAAATGCTGGTTTGAAGGAGAATCATGATGAGAGACCAGCAAATCAACAAGTAAGGATCACACCTGTGAGCGATACAATGAACCGCAACCAGCCACGGACAACGCTTCTTGAGAAGCCGTACGACACCCTTCTTTTTGCCTGTCATGACCAAAGCACCGTCGGTAGAAACACCAACGAGTTTGTCCATCGACAGCCCTTTACTATCCAGGTACGCCATGATGGAGGCGTACAAGGAAGCCGCATCACACTCGTCCACCGTGAGGAGCCCAAAAAACTGGGTGATGACTACCTCCGTCCGTTCGAAGGTGATGTACAGTATGAGATGCTTCCCGCGAGCCCGATCGGTGGACTCGTCGAAAGAGAGGCCATACCACATGGACTTCTTGATGTCTTCGAGTTGACGATCGACCAAATGATGCGCCAATGCTTCGATGAACTCGCCAAACCTGTACCTGCCAATGCAATGAAACATAGATGCAATGAAGTAGAACCCTCATAAAACAAAAAAAATCAGGAAGTCAGACAAACATAAACCAAAACAGTCGAGGTAGGATTGAAGAATGTCACACAAGTACAAGCATAGGTCATACCTTGAGAAGTAGCGCCCGTACGACTCGTCGTTCACCATGTCCGGACAGCCCTGGTCGGCCATGAAGCGCACAAGAGACGGGTACAGGATGATGGGTGAATCGCGTTGAGCGACCCATTGTGCCGCTTGCATGCACTTCGTCACCTGCGCCTGCACGGGGTCGTTGCTGAGCATATCGAGAATACTGCGTTGCTTCACCTCAGTCCCTTGCGCAAGTCTTTCAGCGGTCATGGCAGCGATATGAATCTTAGACTTATCATGGTCCTTGACACCAGATTTCTGGATGTTGCGAGCTCCAACCTCACCACTTCCCAAGGGAGATTTCATGTTAGGAGCATGCACCTGGCATGCCTTGCATCTCATGCCGTACTGCAGGAGCTTCGGGTTGAACTCGAACCTAAGCCATGGGTACGTCACTTTCCAGGTAGGGTTGAATTGACGTGCTAGGTTTTTCTCTGCATCTGGGATTTCCAACTTGCCGTCTTTTAGCATGGTAGGATCCACCTCGTACTTGTTATCCGCTTCAGGGACAGGCTTTGGTGGTGGTGGTTGCTCCCCCCGCAAACGCTTCTTCTTCTTCTTGGACGGAGGCGGTGCAAAACTAAGGCGGGACTGACGAAAACGACCACTCGGTGCAGCAGTGATTGTGCTTGCCGGCGAGTTGAGATCAAATGGCACTGACCTACTGGTAGGTGTGTCTAGGGAGTTGTTAGATACTTTCATATCAGAGTCTACATCTTGGTCGTCTTCACTACCAGTAGTAGGAAAGCTGGATGAATTGCACAGCTCGGCTAGGGTATCTAATCCGCTCTTGAACGCACCAGGTACTCTGTCATCAAGACCCTCCATTGTAGGAGGATTGCAAGAGACTGTCTAGAATCATGGTAACTCAATGAATGGTTCCACTTCAAGTGAATATGAGATTTCATTCCACAGAACGCACATATGAGGAGAAGAAAGGCTATGGAGGGGGAGGGAGGAAAACGGAAAACTGGGGAGGGTCGCATCGCATCGCATGAATGAAAGATGACCTTTGGCGCCGCGCTATAGCGCTGCGGCGGCCGATGATTTTCAGATGGGGGGTGTGGTCTGGCGGGTGGTGTGGTGTATTGCGTTGCATTGCGTTCCGTCCGTTGCGTTTGTGTGTTCTTTCTTTTCTGTTCTGTTCCTCCTGGTGTGTGCCATGATGAATCACGCGATGATGTGAAGTGTGGTTTGGTGAGGGGGTGGTGTGGGGCTGGGTTGGGTGTGCGGTGAAATGGTTTCACTGACAACGAGGTGTGCGTGCGTGCGTTGCTCGCGCTCTGGTATGCCTGCTGGACTCTGGAAGACTGGCTGGACTGGAGCCTGGCTGGAAGGAAACCGTTCTGGAAAACTGATTTCCCCCCAAACTGGATGCTCGCCAGTCACTGGTTCCAACTATCCTGGGGGTCAAGAAACTCCAAGGGGGGCAGGGAAGGTAATCGGGAAAAGAGGGGGGGTGGGGGGGGGGGAGGAAAGGAAACGCGGAAATCCGGGCAAGGCCCAAAACCAGCCCATTAGGATCCGGCCAAGGGCAAAACCAGTCCGTTTTCCCAACGGGCTTCCTCGAAAACCAACCCTGAAAATCTCTGAGGTGCGTCGAAACCAACCCTGAATTTTCAGGACAAACGGGCAAATGCCCGTGAATCGACAGGCCTGCTGCGAACTGCTGGAAGCTGCAGAGACAATGGGAAAGGGGGGACATAGTTTCTGACATGTGATCCAATGTTTCAGCACTGTTCGCCCCCCTAAAGAATGTTTCAAGTAACCCTAGTCATTGCTCGTTCATTGGTCAGTATGCAAAGATGGGAAAACCGAGTTTTGGGCATGGGATGTGGCGTTTCACAGTTAGTAGAGTTATAGACTTCGTGAGCTGGTGATTTTCGCGTTAGTTTTAGAATGCTGCGGAAAATCGTCTGACAACGATCTTGTGCTCGTGGTAAGAGTTGATTTCAACATTGTTTTGTCCGAGGCAGGTGTTTTCCCAACAAGGAAAGTTCAATTATGATGATGATGTCTGATGGTCACGTTGTTTATGCAGAGATTTCGAGGCAGGGTGCTGAATATATGTTCCGGAAGGAGCATAGGCAGACCTTTGGCCGTGATTGCAGGCAATGATTCACTCACGACCGTGGTCAACGCTGGACTGGAAAATCCACACTCGCACATGTACATAGGGGATTCACGTTTGAGAGGTGCGGCTTACCGCCTACTCAGCACGGGTAAATGGTGTCTACTGGACGAATCTAACTCTCCTTTGGTTCGTCGACAGGTAGAAGATATTGTGGCAACGGTGATCTGCAATTTCTTGAGTTCAACAAGTCGAAGAAATCGTTCAATGCACTTGCAGCAGATGATATCCCGTCAATTGTGAAGCATTCATCTTTCGTCGTCTCTGTTACCAATCCCAGAAAGGAAGGTGTGAATTCCCCATTCGGCTACAGGACTCCTTTCAGCATGACGTGAACGTGACAGGACTGACTGCAGATGCAACCACAGCTCAGGTAATTGGTTGGTACGGTACTTACTACGTGCGAAGCTGTTACCATACTGCCAACTTACTCCTGCAAGCCATCATGACGTGCAGGTGCATGCAGGTAGCGTCAACCAGCTGGAGCAGCAATATGCTCCGCATCACAAGATGATCCAAGAGTTTATGCAGAGATATCCAGCAAAGAATCTCCGTGCTGCTGTGTTGATAACCAGAGCTGAGGATGGCGTTTCTAGATCTGCTGTGTACCTTTTGATCCAGCCATACTGCAGGCATTTGCGTGCCCCTTTTAGCCTCAAAAGGCGCTGTCAGGTGTTGCATGCCTTCCTGGCTACCTTCACTGCTGATCATGAAAGCCAAGGTCGTCAGCTTCTAGAAGCTAAACATGACCCGCATGTGGCATATTCAGCTATTTGCGTTAGATACGTTTGGAGCCCTATTAAAAGGCTTATGTGCATACTTTATTGAAGATCCACCCTTCACAAGAGCATCCCTTTGTCCACTAACACTAACCAGCATCCTCATCATCACTACTGCCATCCCGATCTGCTATGCACTCCACCTTGAGCTTCTCCATGAGCTCTTCAAAGGCGCTCCCCTCTGATCTATCATGGAGATCAAACGGGGCGCCACTAGCAGCTCTCAACCCCAACTGAACACCACTCCGCGACTCCACGATCCGCATCTCAACTGAATTTAAAGCAAAACACCCAGGTTCTCCATTACCCAGCTGCTCAGCTGATGAGTTGGAATCACCGGTAGCTCTGGATGCCTCGTGCATCACACATCTTTCTGAGTGCATACCATCTATCTCTTCCCAGGAGAAAAGAAGAGGTAGTGTGGCTCCACCATACGTGTTGAAATCAACCAGCTTCACACGGCCATCACGAGTGATGTAGATGTCAAAAGTGTCTGTCGAAAGGTGAGCGAATTCCACACAAAAGCGAACACACATCAGGAGAACAAACTTGTATGACATACACAAAGGAAAAGGCGTAATTAGTGTGCTTACAGTCAGTAGAAGGAAATTTTCCACGAATGCGGTTGTCATAGAAGTCACATATCTGGAGCTTGATATTTTCATGAGAATCGACTAGAAATGGGTAGAAGGATGTGATCTCTCTCTGACTAATTCCTGTTGGGGAAGGGAATCAATGCACAAGGTGAAAAAAGAAGATCCGTTAGGGCAGGGGGACACCTGGACCTAATAGGTAGTCCAAAGGGGGAAACAAAAGCGACAAAAAAGAGTTTTTTCATATCACCATACCCATGAGTCGATGAGCCTTGACAAAGCAGCGGAACTCCATTTCTGGCCAGAGGTCAAACCACTTGCGCAAGGCAAGCACAAACTCGGAGGGACGGCTCTGCCGCCCGCACTCATGCTGCTGCACCTCTCCCACCTGCGGCTCTTGCCGTGGCTCAGCATCGCCATTCATTCTGCCAGCATTGCTATGCTCCTGCTGCTTTCCATCTGCTTCTGGAGCCGCCACACGTGCTCCACCATTGCTCCTGTCGCTGGAAGGCTCGCAACCATCGGCAGGTGCTTCCGCTTCTGGGGAATCTCCAGTCGCAGAAGTGTCAACACAACTGTCAAAACTGCCATACGCAACCGAGAAGGCATGGCATTTGCTTGTGATTAACCAATAAACATGGATGGTCAAACCACCCAGAGACTACTCTGAAGTGCGTCAACAAGGAAAAACCATCCATGGTACAAGTCGGCAGAGGTGGGAGTGTCGTGCGTGTGAGAAGATAAATATCATACGCATGGCAGAGGTCGTAGGTGAGGGAGTCGGAGGCCTTGAGCAGCAGAAAGACCTCCTGAGCGTTGCTGCACTTGGGTGTGCCCGTCGCACTCAGCCATCCCACGTCCTGAGATTGCACGACATGAGGGCAGTGGTGAGGGACAGAGAAGCAGGTGCCTCTTTTTTTTTTTTTTTTTTGAAATGACTTCAACAAAGAATGGAATTGAAGGTCAGAATTAAAGTCAGGTGCACCACCTTAGGGCAGCTCCAGTTGAGTTTTGGCAGCACGGATCCTCCCAGCCGCGCAATAGCGGCGTCAACAGCAGCCTCAAGTGCAGGGAAGGAAGGCACGTCCGGCTCGTCTGCTTCATCGTCCTCCTCCTTCATCCCCTCATAGTCATCGCAATGTGCCTCCCACTCACCCACTCGTGTGCGCGTGGGCAACTGGAAGGACAAGAGGGACGACGGAAGAGTGAAGAGAGGGGAAAGAAAGAAGAAAGAAAAGGGACGCGGGAAGAGGGACGAGGGAAGAGAGAAGAGAGAAATGGACAAGCACATGAGATGGAGCTGCGAAGATTGAGGGGGAGAACGAGTTCTTCTTCCTTTCCTCACAGCTCCCAAAACCCGCACGAGACCCAAAACCGGAAACCCCGAAACCCGAGACTCGGGCAGCTGAGTGGGATTCGAACGACTTTCAGACCGCTTCAATGAAACGAGCGATTGTACGCGAGGAGATGCGTTTTTAAATCGATCGGAGATTGTCTGCAAGGGTTTCGGGTTCAAACGGAGGGGAGTGAGCAGTGCAACCTACCGCCTTACACGAAGCTGGGAGGAAGATTCCGTCAGAAAGAAGATAGTCGATAAATTCGGGCGGGAGACGGATGATCTCCGTGCGGAGCGAGACGGAGCGGAATTTGGGGTACCAGCTCTGGATCTGGCACGCGAGCACGTCGGCGCGACGCATGGCTGCTGATGCGGAACGCTAAATCCCTGGTATTGCCGAGTACGCCGCACACGGAAAGTTGTTGGTGCTCAGGAGGGGAAGCGTCGCGTCGCGTACCGAAAGCCGTGCATAAAATGGTGGTGCTAGGGTTGGTGGTTGCGGTTGTGGTTCACGAGAATAATTTCTAGTACCGTAAGCTGGTTCTAGTCGATTCTGGTGCTAGCATGTTCACTACTGCTGAATGGATTCTTGATGCTGTGTTGCGTCCAGCAAATGGGATTGGTCGTGGTGGAATTAAACGGTGCTGCTTGGTGCTACTCGGTGGGGTCGGAGGTGCAACGTGATCACTCTAAAAAGTGCTTCGCTAGATCGTGTAAGGAATTTTCTCGATATTCCTTAGCGCACCCTGCAACATCGCGTACAGCAGCAACCGTTGTTCGCCCGTTACTGCTAATGGGGCTTCGCCGACTTCGCCCTCACTGTTTCACCAAACCTCGCACTGCTGGCCTGGCCGTGTCGGCCTACGCTTCGGGACTAGCCCGAGCCTCGCTACCAGCGTAGCACTAGCTAGCTCGCACGCACCGCGCTACCGTTTGCATGTTTCGCGTATAAATGTTCGCTCATGCCTTCCCTCACATTTTGTACTTGTTTGACACCTTAGTGCAATTCTCGCTACTTCGATTCGTTGCATCCGTAACACATGGTGTTCAGAGCCTCTTTCCTTTTCGGACCGCGCATCTCCGCACCCCAGGAAATCAACTTTTGATTTTTCACTCGAAACGGACTCACGCACCTTAGCACCTAGGAGCCGCTGTCCTCGCGTTCTCTCGTAAACGCGTGCAGCCACGACTGCGCCTAGACTAAGACGAGCCGACGCCCTTCGACATGGCTGAGCATATCGATGTCACGACTCTCACGCAGGAGCATTTGAACGAACCGCTGCGGCAAATCCGCGAAAGCTCTGAGGAAATCGCGGCGCTGACGGCAGAACGCACATCCCTGCAAAATGACCTCGCACGAACACAATCCCAAGCACCTGGCACTCCGATTCAGGCCGCACCACAGGCATCATAGCACGGAAGTGTGGGGCAACCCGCGAGCGCCACAAGTGATGGCGTCATCCGCCATGACGGAGACGACGACCACGGCACGACACACCTCGACGCGACGAATGCGGCCAGGAATCAGCCTCGAGTCACGATTTCGGTGCCGGCCGGCGAATCAGCTCTTCCGTCGCCGATGCCGCTAAAGCCGCAGCGTCCGCCATGTTGTGACCCAAGTCAGCGGGGTGGTCCTACCGTTCAGGCGTGGCTCTTCACGTTGAACGTTTTCTTCGACGCGAACTACGTCTCGGAGGATACGGCGAAGATTCGCTACGCCGTGTCGTTGCTGCGAGGACCCGCCATGGATTAGTGGCGTGTCATCGTCACGAAGCCGGTGGACTACGCGACTCTACCGGCACGGGAAGGACAAAACGGACCCTGGGCGCCGTCGTATTTCGTGGAGGTGCCCCAGTATCGCACGTGGGACGCGTGGTGCGCAGGTCTGCGCGCTCGTTTCGAGCCAATTGCGGCTTCGATCGCGGCGCGACAGAGGCTCCGCACTTGGCGCCAACTCGGTTCCATCCAAGACTACACGAGCGGGTTTCTGGCGCTATGCGAGCAGGTGGGATACATGCATGAGAGCGAGCGCATCGACCGCTACATCGGCGGCCTGAAGCAGGACATCGCTCAGGACATCCAGCTCCGCGGCGTCACCGATTTTCAGGAGATTCTCGCCATGGCGGAGAAACTCGATTTCTTCCGCCGACCGAGACCGGGGTCCTACGGAAGCAGTAATTGGGGACATCGGCCTCGTGGGACGAACGAGGGCGCTACGATACATGCCGTCGCCGCAAATGCCGCTGTCGCACCATTCAAAGGGCGCTGCTTTGCGTGCAATCGGCCGGGACACCGTAAGAGCGAATGCCCGGAAAATGCTGAGGGAAAGGGGGAAGCTCAGCAGGGAAACGCTGGGAGTCAGTAGCAGATGGGCCCTCTACTGACAGGTCACGCCGCTCGCCCGACCCAACCGACCCTCACCGAGTGATTGTGCCGTTTCACGCAATTGACCACACCCGGCCGAATAAGGAGGGTACTACGGTAGATAGCCCTATACTGCTTAGTGGGAAAATTGGGACTGACTTAGTTAAAATATTCGTAGACGGGGGGGCTAGCCAAAGCCTTATCAACACTGCCACAGCACGAAAACTGCGACTGCAACTGGACATATGTTTACCTAAGATCGACGCAAGACTTGTCGACGGCACGCCATTGGCGATACGGGAACGCGTGGACCGAGTTCGGATTCGATGAGAGAAGAAATGAGGAATGAAATGAACTAGTAAGCAGGTGGGTACAAGTAGGAAAACCTAAAAGTGTTGTACCCCATATTGTCTACCCCACTACAGCCTAAACAGACTATAGCATATGAGTTTGACATACCCCCATAGGCAAAGTGGGGGAGAACAAGAGGTCACGAGACCAGTCAAGCAAAGCAAAGCAAGCTCAGGGTGGATCACAACGTCACCATACATTCCGAGCACAAGTTTAAGGCCACAAGGCCAGTTCACATGCAAGATCATATGTAAAGGTAAACAAGCAAGGTCAAGAAGTGAGCAAGTGAGGCCAAATAGGCAAAAGAACTAGCATCGTACAACAGCGCTGATGATCACAAGGCGGAAGTGCCTTGGTAAAGATATCAGCAGTGTTGGCCTCAGAGGCCACGTAAGCAAGGCGCAGCTGACCACGCTACTGCAGCTCACGAGCAAGGAAGTAACGAAGAGCAATGTGCTTCGTTCAGTGCTCCAGTCTGTGCTCCCGACACAAGGCCAGCATGGCCTTGTTGTCTACGTACAGAACAAGAGGAGAACGAGGCGGCTCTCTTAGGTGAGTCAGCAGGTAGGTGAGCCAGCGTAGCTCCTGTGCAGCCATGGACCCCGCGTAGATCTCAACCTCACAGCTGGAGCCGAGAACAGAAGACGAGTGGGTAGACCGCCGCGAAATAGAGCCGGAACGAAGGCTGAAGGTGTAACCCTGTGACGACCGCAGCGTAGCTTGGTCGTCAGCCCAAGAAGCGTCTGCGTGACCTGTGAGGACCACTGAACGTCGCCCTCCAAGCACTAGCCCCATGCCCAACGTACTGCACAAGTAGCGCAACACCCTCTTCGCTGCAGCCATGTGCTCTGGTCGGTGTCTCCCAGGAGCAATATAGCGTGCCAAGATGCTAAGAGGGTATGCAAGGTCAGGTCGAGTGCAGGTCATCAGGTACATGAGGCAGCCAACAAGCTCTGGGTACGGGCCACTCGGCTCTAAGGACTCATCCGAAGGCAGAGCTGAGAGCGAGTGGCGAGTAGGCAGAGGAGTGGCCTGAGGCGAGGAGCACGTGAAGTCGAAGCGCTGAAGGACCTGCTGCACCATGTGTGACTGAGTCAGGGTAATGGTGCGCTGTGCTCTGTCCCGGGTGATCTGCAAGCCAAGGTAGCTGCGCAGTTCACCCAGGTCAGTGCACTTGTGTCTCTTCTGCAGCTCGGACTTCACGTGGGCGAGTCCAGCAGTGTTAGCAGTGGCAAAGACCAAGTCGTCGACATACACGAGGATGTAGAACGGCGGCAAAGAGGTGTCAGTGCGCAAAAACAGCGACGAGTCGGCAGTAGAAGGAGCAAACCCAAGAGCCGCAAGTGTAGTCCTCAGTGTGTCGTGCCAATCACGGGGCGCCAGGCGGAGACCGTAGACTGGCCGCCGAAGGCTCCACTGGGTACCAGGAGGAAACGACCCAGTGAAGCCAGGTGAGCAGCGCAGCCAGATCTCCTCGTGCAGGCTGCCCTGCAAGAAAGCTGTGCTGAAGTCAAGAGAGTGAAGCTCGTAGTCGCGCTGAGCGGCTATGTGCAGCAGCACCTGAAGAGTGGTCATCTTCGGGGTGGGAGAGAAGGTCTCAAAGTACTCAACTCCCTACCGCTGACTGAAGCCTCGAGCCACGTAACGCGCCTTGAAGACAGGCGGAGAACCTGGCGGCTGCTTCACCCTGAAAATCCACATGCCACTGACGATGTTCGCCCGAGGTAGGGGAACCTCGTCGACGTAGGTGCCTGTGGACTTCCAGGAAGCCATCTCTGCGTCCATGGCTGACTGCCACTGAGACGAGTAGGGACCCTCGATCGCCTCAGTGTACGATCGAGGAGTCGGGATCTCTGGTGCATCCGGGTCTCCCTCAGGGGCAATCAGCGTGGACAGGAGATGAGGCAAAGCAGCACCAAAACACTGGAACTCCTCCTGCCTGTCCTCAAGGACGTCCGTGCTAAGAGCACACTCACCCCCGACGGACGGAGGACAGACAGACTCAGACTCAGCAACAAGACTAGTAGCGTAGTCTAGGCGACAGCGAGCAGCAAAGTCGACAAGCTCAGCAACCAAGGCAGATGCAGCAGAGGACTCAAAGTAAGGGTCAGTGACAACAGTAGCCAGGAGATGCGTGACAGTAGGACTGGTAGCACAAAGAGAGTCAGACTCCGGATCTGCAAGGTTAGGAAGAGAGGACTCTGGAGGAGACGGCAACGGGACACGCAGAGGAGCAGTGGAAGGACGCAGTGCCATCTGGTGTGTGCCTGGGACCGCAGGAGGACGCGGAGCACGACGATTAGTGCGAGTAGCACGAACAGGCGACGCAGGACGAGACGCAGGCTCACGACGCTCACCAAGACCTCCAGTAGGACCAGCGTAGGGAGAAGGAGCAGGTAGGGGGGAGGCGGGCTGTAGCTGGGACCGCGACTAGACAGGCTGTGGACACTCTAAGGGAGGAGCAGGACCAGTAGAAGGCGGGAGACCAAGAACCTACTCAAGGAGCGGATCGAAGTACGGCCGCGGCCGCGCAGCGCCTCCAGAACCAGCAGGGACAGCACCAGCACCTCCAGCGGCAGCACCAGCGCCAGCAGCACCTCCAGCTCAAACAGCGCCAACTCTAGACCCTCAGAAGCACCACCACCA